TCAGTAACGTTTAATATTCGATATTTCATACGTTGAAATATCATATAGAAAACATTGCAACCTTAAACATAAAGCAACGCAATAATACATAAACTAAACTTGAGAGTATCTATAAAATTGGTTACCATCTTTCAACGCATTCATCCATTTTCTCTCTTTGCGGTTGTTCGAATTCCAACGTTCACCTGCAGCAAAGCCCGCATCCTGCTAAGTAAAAGGTAAAGTAGCCGTTCACTGATTTTCATGCCATTCGTTCGACAAAATTCTCCATGCGTTTCCCAGCATTGAAGAACCTTGGAAGTGGAGCCATTTCAAGCAGCTGAATCCTCCCTCCTCGTCGCGAGACTCAAATCTTCTTTTTTCTTATTTCCATTTCCCTTCTCCCTCTTTCGCAGTTCTTTCGAGACTATCCTTACGACCCTCTCCCCTCGTCCCCAGACTCTGCCCTACTGTCGGAGCTATTTTAATGACAGAAATAATGATTGAACATTACGGTAACGGTATTTAATCTCTCCCGCGCAGTGGCCGCCGCCGGGAGCGAGCCGTTAGAAATGAGAAAAGTTGAAATGGGAAATGGAATTGGATGCATAACCTGACTAGGTGGGGATGCAAGGAAAAGCTGAACCACGCTGGCTTACTTTCCACCATTCCGCCCTTCTTTCGCTTGCCCCTTCTTCTCTGTATTCTTGTCTGTCACCCTGTATCCCGGCTAGCTCCTTCTCGCTTGATCCTTGTTCCCTTTGTCGCAGTAACTTTCCCGATCCTATTCCACACTCGGCGCCGTTCCTCTTTTGACTTGAACCAGCGCTGATTGAAGACATCGATTGGACTAGTCTCGAGGTTTTCTAAAAGTAAGATGGATCACCAAATACCTGCCGCTGCGACTCACAGCTGAACTCGCACAGAACGTTTTATACGGTCGAGTTTGCAATTAGGGATATTGGGTGGGGTTCCTTTTGAAATTATCCTTTCTGATTTATAATAAAAATCTGCAAGATTCGTAAATATTTTTAAGGAGGTAGATATTGTTGAATCATTACTGAATGTTACGAGATTTTATTACAAAATTTGTTCAATATTGTTTGTACGTCTTTGTTGTTTTTAGATTTGGTTTGCCTCATGATGAATTCTGCGTCGGGCAGGTGATCCTGAATAAAAAAAAATGTCACTTAAAGTAGCATAGACAGCACATTTGACATATTTACAGTTGAACGGCAATCCAAACATATTTTGTTTCTGTTACTCTTTTGATTTTACACAGAATTAAGGATAGTAGGTAAATTGGTAAACTCCTTTTCTTTCGTGGGCGCAATATTAATCGTCGCTGTAATGATTTTCGCCATTGAACCTGAGGTTTTAATCCTATTATTTACATCAATTCTTCACGTGTTTGTAATTTACCTTTGTCGTGAATGTTGAATTGTATATAATTTTAAAAGAATAAAAATAATGAATTGCAGTCGGATGATCTTGATGGTCACAGCGTAGAACCATATCTACCAATCTATTGACCTGGAAAACGGTAACTTAGGACAGCTATCATTTCTCTGCCAGCATTAGGTGGTGCGCCGCTTTATTATTTTCCCATTTTTCATACGTTTTCCAATTACTACGGCAAAGTATCGTCTATGAAATTTCTGTAATAGTCCGTTGATAATCTCTTCTGACTTTTGGTTAGACAAAGTATTAGTCCATTATTTCGCACCATGCATTTACCGAGAATCGGTGTTGAAATCCGCGTTCTAGCACATCATGTGAATTTTCACTGGCTCAATAACAGATTTATCGATGGATTCACGGATTAAATCGGGCTTGGCAATGAAAATATGTCAGCAAAATACAATATTCTCAAAAGTACCTGCGTATAGAATTATACACGGTATGTATTATGTTGAGAAAAAAATGTTGAACTTTTTCAGATGGTATGGATGAAGACTCATTGTTAGATCGTAAGATTATCCACACTCCTGTTCTTTGTACTATCAATGGCTACTAATAGCATTTTGCATACACTTAAGTGCGAATTTTTTCGAATTCTACTTTTGTTAGCACTGTGGTGTTAGTAAGCTGATTCTCTTCGTGCTCCTTATTTAATGATGGAAAAGAACTTACTTTTCTTAGAATTCTGAATACGTTCTGGAAAATTTAAAGATAATGGTGAGAATATTTTATATGTGGCGACCGCCACGAGGGGGGGCCACGCACTTAGGCCTGGCGACTCTTGGCCCTCGAGGCGAAGAATCGAGAGATGTTTTTCCAAACATCTCCGAGTTTTTTCGTCCTCGAGGACAAGAGTATTGCCTCGGCAATGCAGACCCGCGCCCCCACTTCCTGGGACTTTCCCAGGGAAAAGGGGCTACTTAAGGGAGCCCCGAAAAAGGCACGAGGCCTTTTGTCGTAGACTCGCGTCGCCTACACTTCAAAATTAGGTTAAGGCGTCACATCAAATTGGTGACCACGACGTGATAAGTCTAGTAAACGGAATACGTGAGTGCAAGATTTATTAGTGCCAATAAGCCACAATATGGAGAGTTCGGCGGACCGGATCCACGAAATACCCATTTCACGGGACAGGATCGCCACCACGTCACTTCCAAATATATTTTGAAAAGTACGAGGTATTGTATATCAAATCCTAAACTATGCCGCAGGCTTTATTTTCATCATTAAAAACCATTTAACACTCTTGAAACTAGCGTAAGCAACGATTGTTAATCACTCGGGTACTAATTTCCGCGTACTTGGAATATTGCACTAGGTGCCGTCTGAAGACTGAATGTATTGCGTTAAGAGTCTGACTGAATCTTTAAGATTCCTAATGTAACTGATGGTCTGTGTACTAACACTCTGCGGTCCTAAGTTAAGTCGGCCTTCTTATCAAGTCGAAGGGAGGTTCTTAAAATTACTAAGTGACCAACCCCGTATCACCCCCTTCCATTGCGCCCGGAGCGCGACACGTCCTTGGAGCGGGGGTGACGAAGCTGATCCTTGCCGGATGGAAATTTGACCACAAGGGGGGAAAACCCGGCCAGGTCAACTCTGACTCTCCGACTCGTTCGGAAGGTCAGGTACCGAGAGGCCTCGGTAATTGCATCGGTTCCGAAGACCCTTTGGGGGTGACTTTATGATACCTTGCCTTACCGACTGAACAGTAGCCTATTCTTTAATATTTGAGAAATTCTAGGTGCCGCATGTTGGCTGCAGACCGGTCTGCTAAATTAAAAATAACGGTTTGCTGAACTAGAAATCACGTATCATAAAATCGTCCCCTTGCTGTCCTAACAACGATTGTTTCGATAAAGCAATGAAAGAGATCTGCTGTGCATATGACATTTCTTGGTAAAAATGATGTGCTTAATGCGTAGAAGTTTGTTGAACAAAGTATTTACTTTCTTATTCCAATTGTTTCTTTAAGACAATAAGTTACGTTAGATATTTATCGCAGGATATTAAAACAGAATAATTTAACGTTTTATTCCATATTAGAATTTTATTCTTACAGTCTACTTTTGCGTGTTTTGTAAACTTTACCCACATGTAGGTCAATTGTTAAATCAAGACACAGTATAATAATACAATTGTATTTGTCGTGATTTTTAGAAATTCAGTTAATGTTAAAATTTTCTTCATCTTCCACGTAGCTATAACGCTTGATATTCTACGATAAGATTTAAACCATTCTGTGAACTACTTGCTTGTTCAGAACTGCAGTTCTGAGCGGATAAAGTAACCAGATTTTATCGGAAGTCAAGGAGGACAGAAAGAGGTTCTTCAATTTTAACTTGGAGTAAACTTCAGAGAGAAGTCCATAACTACATTAAATACAATATTTCTGAAATATTATAACAACAGGGAGCGTAAATGCTGTCGGTGACGCTAATTGTAAGTTAAATAATCGTGTTATCGAAGTTTTTAGTTCTGCACGGCCTACATAATATTGTAATCTTAAAGTCTTTCAATTTTTACAGGAAATTCTATTTACAAATGCAATTTT